GGCTAGCAACCTCACCACACTAGTGACCACAATCTGGTGCATCGGCAGTCTACGGAGCCGGGTTAGTGAACTCTCTCTACCGGAAAGCTAAGCGGTTGCCGTGGAATCTGAACTTCAATATCCAATATCTCAATATCTTGTGACAGAACAATACTCAATATCTCAATATCTTGGAAAACAATAAGGGAGCTCAATCCCCTTAGTCACAGGTGCCATTAGGGGCATTCAAACAAGGATGTCTACCCTACTCAGCGCCAAGAAACGTCCCTTGACGTTCACTATCAATCAACTCGAGCTCATTCTCGATAGCCTCAAGCACGACAGACTTGAGGACACTTCTCTAGATCCCAATTTAACTCGAGATGTTCATTTCGAAAACATACGCAAATTGGAAGAGAGTATCAAAGCCATTGAACTAGCAATGGCAAAGGTGGAAAATTCCCTCGACGCGTTAGCCCCAGCATTTGATAGCACCAACCTTTCCGGAAATGAACCCAACGGTTTCGAAGAGTATGTCGGCAAAAGCGAGACCAGTCTCAGCGTTGCATTTGACTACTCGATTCTTTTGCAAACACGGCTTGGCACTGTTAAATCTTTGGTATCTCAACCAATATCTTCTGCAGCAGAATCCAGTTCATTCCCATCAATACGTCACGCAAGAGTGAAGCCATTGGAGCTTCCGCCCATTCGAATACCCACCTCTGGAGGAAATATTTGGGAATGGGACAGTTTTTGGGAGATTTTCGATACCAATGTTCACTTCCAAGATATTGCAGATATGATCAAATTCAATTATCTGCTAAATGCCCTCAAAGGGGAAGCCAAAGAATCCATAAAAGTACTCCAGGTCCTAGGAGACAATTACAATAAAGCAATACAGTTCCTTCACAATAAGTACAGTAATAGAGAAGTTTTGATTAATGCCTTAGTAGAAAGAATGGATCACTGCTCTCTGAGGGGACAGTCTATCAAAGATCAGCGTCACCTCCTAGAACAATTCCAGGGCACTGTAACCCAATTGGAGGAAAAGGGGGAGGAGGTTAACAACTCGTGGCTAATCAAGAAAGTCTTGAGCAAATTCCCTGAATCACTAAAGCGTGAGGTGATTGCAAAGAAACAGAGAGTTGCACCGTCGACTCCTTTCACGATGAGCCTGCTCTTCCAACACCTTGACGAAGTGATAAGTACAGAGGAATTGATCTTGACGTACACAGAAACAAGACTCAAACAAACGATGAAGACCAATAAAGTCCTTAACAATAAAGAAGATTTTGAACGTAACTGCATGTACTCCAGGGCTACACATCCATCGCATGCTTGCACGCTATAGTCCACTCCTCAAGAAAGATCAACTTATCTGAGGAAGCACAACCTGTGCTTGATATGTGCGTCCCCAAATCACAATACTACCCAATGCAGAGAACGAATGTGCTTCAGTTGTGGAGGGGCGCATCATACCTCCTGCTGCTTCAAGGCCAGCACCAATATCTACGGAAATTCTAAAATCGGCAATGCCCAAGAAGCTCCGAGTGCTGCTCGGACATCAACAACAAGATCAAAAAGGGGAAACGGTGGCGGAAATGCCTACAAGAAAGTACAGAAGGCTCACTCTAATGTGAACACTGCGACAGCAACCAGCGAACTCGGTTCCTCAGACGATGCACATGCGGAATCCGTAATCCTTCAACACCAAGCTACCACCAACAAGTCGACGCGAACGCATCCTTGTCTACCACTAGGAGAACTCACCATTGTCGATACCGATACAAAAGCCCCAATGAAGGTGCATGCTTTGCTCGACACTGGAGCTGAACTATCTTTTATTAATAGCTGCTTAGTCAGCCGCGTGCACTTACCAGTACAGGACATCAAAGAGGTTCACTGGCAACATTCGGTTCTCAGGAAGTAAAGAGAATCAGATGCAGCCGAGTACATATAAACGTTTGGGATGCAGTAGGCAACCCTCAAAACCTAGAGCTCCTCACACATAACGTCCTTACACGTTCTCTTGAGACGCCAAATCTTCCTGCACACGACAGGGAATTCATCCGTTCTCTCGACTTACCAACATGGAAAAATGATAAAAAGAAGATAATTCCATCTATTCTGCTTGGGTGCGATCAACTATGGAGTTTCGTACGAACCGACGAGCCATCATTACCCTTACCCTCAGGAATGCACATTTTACCCACCAAAATGGGATATCTGGTTTCAGGAAGACCTAACCTAGAGAACAAAAACGTTCTCCAGGTCTCCCAACAGCTTCAAGATGAAGCAAGTGAATGGGAGAGCCTCTGGTCCATGGTCGTTACCCATTAATACACAACATCTTTTACAGAAAGCGAAACTTCCCAAGAAGAGAAAGAAAAATGGGACAAGTTTTGGTCTCCAGACGCAATAGGAACGGAAGAATTTATTGGTGCTGACAAAGAGACTCGACCTGCAAGGGATAAACGTGTATGGGAATAATTCAACAGCACAATACAACGTAGACGAGACGGCTACTATGTGCGTCTCCCATGGGTAGAACAATGTACCTTCCTACCTGACAACAAAAGCCTGGCCTACAGACGCCTTGTCAATGTGTGGTCATCAATAAGTAAAGAAAAAGACCTTCTGGAACAATACAATGATGTTTTCCGAGATCAGTTTCATCGGAACATCATCGAACCTGTAGAGGATGCCACCGTAGTTGAGGGGAACCGAGTACACTACATCCCGCATCAACCTGTAAACACTCCACACAAGACCACATCAAAATTGAGAGTCGTTTTCGATGCATCAGCCCATTACAAGAATTGCCCTTCCTTGAACGACGTACTATACAGAGGACCAGTTATCCTACCTCTGATACACGGGATTCTCCTACGGTTTGGGATTGGAAAGATAGCAATAATTTCGGACATCGAAAAGGCGTTCCTTCAGGTTCGTCTACAAGAACAAGACAGAGACGCAACCAGGTGCTTCTGGCTACGTGACCACAAGTCACCTCCGTCGATCAATAACACAATAACGTTTCGTTTCACCAGGGTAACGTTCGGGTTAAAGTCATCTCCATTTCTACTAGCAGGAGCCATCAATTACCACCTCGATACCTTCCAGAACAAAAAGAAACTGACTCAAGATATCAAAAGAAACATGTATGTGGACAATCTTCTGCTGACAACAGATGACCCCGAAGAAGCGAAGGATATTTACCGTCAGACAAAACAAATTTTCCAGGAACTGAACATGAACCTACGTGAATTCTCATCTAACAATCAGCTCTTGATGAAGGTCATAGAAGAAATAGACCGGACCACAGAAACTTGTCCAAAAGTTTTGGGTCTCCAATGGGATATTCATGACGACACAATTCTCGCTTCATGTCGTTTTCCAGACACCCCAATAGTGACCAAAAGAGCTGTTACGAGCGCAATCGCCTCCATTTATGATCCACTTGGTTGGATTCTCCCACTTCTTTACCGGTCAAAAACGTTTCTCCAAAGATTATGGAAAAATCAGTATAGCTGGGACCAAAGGCTGCCTACGAATAAGGAAGCCGAATGGATAGACATAGTGGAGGAAGTGCAGGGCTTCGAAAAGAAGATCCCACGATACAAAGCATCCAAGAACGAGTCGGTTATTCTTACCACTTTCGCGGATGCTAGTACGTCTTCCATGGCAGCATGTGTATATCTATGCCAGAACAATAGGTCATCTCTACTCATGGCTAAATCAAAACTATCACCCCTCCAAGGACAATACACTATTCCAAAATTGGAACTAAACGCTGCTACCTTGGCTATGCGACTTTCCAATCATGTGTTTAATGAGCTCAAAGACTCACTCAATATACAGGCGATGTACCTATTTACCGATTCTGAGATTGTCCTCAGCTGGCTCAAAGACTCACTCAATATACAGGCGATGTACCTATTTACCGATTCTGAGATTGTCCTCAGCTGGCTCAAACGAAAGCCAGAACGTGAGGTGGGACCCTTCGTTTATCGACGCATCATTGAAATGAATAACATAGCATGTCACTTTACAAAGCAACAATGTCCTTTCAAAATCGGACATGTCTCGTCGAAGGACAATCCGGCGGATTGTGCAACTCGTGGAGTAACCAAACAAGAATTGGAAAGTCATAGGTGGTGGACAGGCCCACCATTCCTACAATACCCACCAAATCAATGGCCAGATCAAGATAAACTCTTCCAATATCCACTAGAGGATCACGAAGGAGTCGATCCCAACGGAGACAATGAGCCTGATATCATACTCACTCTAAAATCTAAGAGCGAGAGCAATACCGAATTTATTGGTGCGACTCAGGTTAAGACGCTGATCAAAGCTAAAAGAATTCTGGCATACGCTCTTCGTTTCATCAGCGCTCTTATCAGACGCACCAATCCGCAAAGTTGTCAGCTCCTAACTCGCTTCATGACGAGTAATCAATGTCATTCAGCACATCCAGCGTATTTAACGGCCTCCGAAATTCGAATAGCAGAACTAGAGCTCATTCGTCACCATCAAACAATGCATATCACCCAGCGACTGATTAATTCGTTGCAACAATTCAATATCCATCAAGATGAACAAGGTATTTACCGTTGTTATGGACGACTTGGAAATGCACACTTACACAACAATACCAAGAATCCCATTTTCGTCCATCAGAAAACTCTTTTGGCGGTTATCATCATAAGAGAGAAGCATCAACAAGGCCATCCCGGTGTCAACCATACCATAGCCATGGTTCGACAAGAATTTTGGATACCCCAGTTACGCCGCAAATCTGCACACTAATACGGAAATGCTTCCAATGTCAGAAATTCACCAACGCCTTATAGGCACCCAAAACAAGAGAGCTTACCGAAAGAGCGAGTTCTTCGCTCATATCCATTCCAGCATATCGGCCTTGACTATTTCGGACCCTCTCTCAATATACTCAGCAACAGGAGCTTATGAAAAATGCTATGGTATGTTAATAACTTGTATGACCACCCGACTTATTCACCTGGACGTCATTTCTGACATGACTACTAGAGCGTTCCTCAACATGCTTCGTCGTTTCTTCGCACGCAGAGGGGTTCCCCAATCTATCACAAGCGACAACGCCCCAACATTTGAACTAGGTGAAACTATCTTAAAGGAGTGTCTTCACGCCGCCAAGAGTGATCCAACAGTGCTCAAAGAGTTAAGCAACAAAGAAATCGAATGGCATTACAATACTCCATCTGCCCCATGGCAAGGGGGGCTTCTACGAGAGGTTAATTAAATCAATCAAGCTCAGTCTCGTCAAAACAATAGGGCGTTCTATCCTCCCTTTAGAGGAACTATCAGCAATTCTGATCGAGATTGAAGCAGTCCTTAACACACGTTCTCTTACATATGTCACCGTTGAACCTCATAAGGACGTATTATTGAGACCAATAGACTTCATACGGGAAGATATCCTAGTCTATTACCCAGTCGGTCAGAAAACGGAAGCAGAGAAGATCCGCAATATTTACCACCGGCGGAATTGACTGCGATTCAAATTAAACAGCAAGCGACCAAGGCCTTGGAATCGTCTTGCCAACTTGCAGAGAAATTTTGGAGAGCGTGGCAAACTGGATATCTCACAGCACCCAGGGAGAAACATACCCTCAACGTTGGGAAGAAGCGGGGATGTTCTAAATATCCGAAGGAGGGAACAATTGTTCTGATAAATGACCCCGTATTGCCTCGCCATTCTTGGAAAATGGGCGTAATTCATGACGTTATAGCCAATGCTCAAGGGACAATACGTGAAGTCGTCATCAGACTACCCTCCCAGCGACTTATTCAAAGACCAATTTAATAACTCCACTAGAACTAGACGATGATTCGTCAGAGCTTACGAATCAATCCGCGGGAAGAGAGAAATGCTACTTACAAGATGGAATGTCAATTCAACCACAAGCTGATTCTTTCACTGACAGTAGTCAGCCACAAACAATGCCACGATGCAATTTCCGCAAGAGGAGACCAATTGATTATACCGAGAGTGAAACCGGAAACGTATCTCACGTACATACTCCGTCTGACATACATACAACGAATCTTGAAGTAGATCTCACTTGCAATCTCAAAAGCAATCACTTCAAACTCGATATTTCAAACTCAACGCTATTAGAAAATCACGGAGAATCTCCGGCACGATACTCACAATAAGTCAGAACAATACTCTATATACAATATCAATAACTCAATATAGTTCAATACATAATTCCTTTCACATTTGTTGTCCTAATTCAATTACCCCTTTTAAGGTTCCCGGACCAATGCAGGAGGAAGGATTTTATCTTAAGGAATCTCGCTTCATGACCAATTTTTGGCAGAACTCAGTCCCACCAGATCTTAAAACGGAAATATCGCTGACGTGGCAGGAGCTCAAAGAGCAAGTCGAACAAGTAGAGGAGCTGGATACATCCTGGACGAGTCACTACATTAACTCTACTTGCTCCGATTGCCACCCGCAAAAGCTCATCCTGATAGCTAGCCGCTTTCTCAGGATGGCGAATTCCACAAAGGACAAGCTTTCACGCCTCAAACAACACTTATTGCCAATCGATTCATGGCGCTCGATACTCGAGAAGGAAAAGGATGATAAGGAAAGGATGGAAAAGGACATCGATAAGGACAAGATCACGTTGACGGCTGATGGATACATTCAGAAGGTCGACCGAATCACCTCGGAAATCGAGTATGAACTGGGTCAACTATTAAAGAATATTCCAGACCAAAACAATAACGTCCCTCACGGCAAAAACGCCACGGAGGCCAGGAGTACTTACTCAGACTGATCCCGGAGACCACTGAGACCGCGGACGACTGGAAAAAAAAGAACATCCTCAGTCTGCTCCTCAAGAATTAAGCGACCGTCCAAATCTGGATCAGAAGAGTCCAACGAGAGGAAGCTCTCGACATACGAGGACGGCAACCGTCACCAGGACGTTAATTGCCCTAGGAAGCGCCCTCACAGCAAAATTGAAAGAGAATTGGAAGAACTTGAGAGAGGACTACACTGCTCCCAACCAGAAAGATTGCCTTCAGACCACAGCAAGTCAAGTTCTCCGTAACATGCGCGTTCTGTGAGGAGAAAGGAACACATTTCTCTGACTCCTGTCCCAAAGTTCGTGAAGGACGCCAAAGACATCGCATCATACGATTCAGTAGAAGGTGTTTCTACTGCTTGGGATGGTGTGAAGATCAGAAGAATTGCGAAGAAAAGGAAAAGGAATGTTGGTACTGCTCAATAGTTCGAGACACGGCTTTGGACTTCCTCATCCCCGATAACGACGGTCACCATCGCGCTTTGTGCACTGTACCAAATTCCAAAGATAGAGTAAGAGATGTCATCCAAAACATGAGACAAGCACTGTCTGACGTTTCATGATGACAAATCTCATAGAATTTGGGCGAGCAACCTCACCACACTAGTGACCACATACTATGAGTCCACTCAGGACTGCGACTCCCCTAATAATTCCAGAACGGCTAACCTACACACGCTAACACGATGCCTTCTCTATCCTCTTCTCCTTCTACAATTCGCAGTACCAGGCCATGCGCAGCCTGGCCTGGTACTGCGAATTGGAAAAATGGAATTGGAAAAATACCGCCTGCAATGTCGGTACACACCCTGTGCTTCAATCAAGTATGTCGACCTCAAACGCAAAATACCTCCACCTTATTTACGTTGCCTTCTTCGGTTCATAACGACCTAATGTAGCGATTCATTCCAATAACGATACAACATCACCCAGCTATACTGAAAACTGCAAAAGACGCCCATTTTTGACAAAACATTTTTCACACTGGGTTTACTGGGCAACCACCACTGTTGGCCCATAGGGGCAATTTTGTCGGTAGTGCCACCATTCATCGCACTCATCCTCATCACAATATTGCTCGCAATCACCATTGCGAAACGCATTCCAAGGAAGCCAAGAAAAACTCAAACCTCCCGTCCCACACCCTTGGAAACTCTCCAGCCAGTTCAGTTTTCGCTGAAAGATTTGAAGCCGCCTTTATATGTGACCACTGCTTTAGCGCTCTTAGCTTTGGCCACCATGGGTACACTAAGCTGTCAACACACGCACATGCGCCACGTTACTGAGCTGATCTGTAACGGCAGCATAATTGCACACTCGAACACGAACAAGAATTTCCATTCAACAGACTTAATAGGGACGCGTGTATTCCCTTATAACATCGAAATCAAACCATAGGAAATCTCAAAATCACATTTCAACGTTTATGCCAGATCTGCAACAAGGAAACTCTGTTCTATACAAGAGATACCTTCACTAACGTATACTATGAAAAAATGTGCGCGTTTATGGGATCATGTTTAACCCATAGTTGCGCAACAATGAAGCACAATAAATCGATACCCGAATTGCGTGAAGCAGAAATCTATCCTGATTATTCAACGTGCACCGCTTCCTGGAGGCATAGCATGTGGTTGCTTCACAGCACAACCATTCCCATCTTGCTTGTGTTATAGAGTTGCACAAGTTCCACACACTGTAGATGTAAACCACGTCTTTGCATGCTCATCGTGGAACTTAGAAATCCACTTAGACTTCCAATTCTCCACTCCAGACAACTCCACAAAGGTCCCTCTACGGATACACCCCCACGTACGTTCACCACTTCAGGGATGGGACATAAAAGTAATTTCCATCCAGCATACATCACCTCCCATCCTCAATAGACGTTTTGCCGCATCACCGTACGCGAATATGATACTGGACGATCAATTCGAAGTACCAGTCAAATGTCCAGATGCAGCAACGGCAGCTGAATATTTCCACGCATGCCAAAATGCCGTAACCTGTGCATGCACTCCCAGTAAGGACGCGGTGCGATGCAATTGTGCTCAAAGTACGATGCGCGTAATGAAATTCTCAGCGCAAGAGCTACCACTTATAACACCTCATCTCGACATAAGTGCAACCGATACGGTTGTAGTGGACACTCACGATACCAAAATCACATTACTAATTGAGTCCCATAAGCAACTTCTAATTCTAAAACTTCTGGTTGATCCACCTTTTTTCTTGCATACAACAACTGTAACGGGTTGCTATAGCTGTCAAGAAGCTTCAAAAATAACGGCATACTGTTATTCCATTAAAGCAGTGAAGTCCTCCTTGACTGCACAGACCAGTCACGCCTGCTAAAATGTTCACCTCAAAACGAAAGCAACGGAATATCCTTAGAATACAATCGTGCACACGCAAATGATATCTGTTCATTCCGTTGTGCAGGAAAACGTCAAGCAATTCCCCTAACAGGTACCCTCCTCTATCACAGATCAATACCGGACGAAGAAATCTTCAGCACTGGCGAAAACACCAACGCGAACAACAGTTGGTGGAATGACGTCCCGGGCCTACGTCCTCTTATGCACACCGCTCTCACACACTGGAAGAGCAATAGCAGCGCGCCTAAAATAGCAACACCTCTGTACTGGGTCTCGCAGGTACACGTCGTCTCGACCCATTCCAGGCATCGATTCGACTCACTCTGAACATGCTAACTACTATTATACAATGCAGGCTATTCAGAGTGGACTGAATTCCATCGAAACTGAGATCGACTCTTTGATTGCCCGTCCTCCTCGAGTACCATGCATATTTTGCGACAATGGAGAACACCGTTCTTCTTTCTGCACCATATTTCCCGATATTGTGTCTAGTTCTCTCCGTCTGAGAGATCGAGACAAGTGCACGTCCTGCCTGGCAACTGCACTTGGTATCTGTCTCAAGAAGTGTCGCAACTGCGGAGGACCGTATCATGCGATTCTCTGCAACACAAAACCAACAAGTGGGCCACCAGCAAAGTGCCATCGATCGGCTTGACGATGAGTCGATTTTGGTTTACTGCTTCTTATTTGGGGATGTTTTATAAGTTATCATATGTTTTACAAGTTTGTTTGTTTTACTACTCATTCACTTTGTATTCATTCAAATGCCCAATCCTCATAATGTAAACGCAAAATTACCGTTCACACCACACCAAACAAAATCCACTCGCTCTCTGGCCAATCACTCGTGGCTCGGCGATGAAAGCCCACTATCACATATGTCACATTATGTTTATTCTCACACGCTTTAGTCGTCAGTTCAGTCTCAACTCGCACTCTGTCATCAGGTCAGGGGCAGGAGCCGGGCTCCGATTGGCTAGTTCGCGAGTGACTCATCAAAAAGTCAATGTCAAGTGAGCATTATTTTGCGTACTTGGCTCCATTCATCTCTTCTATACTTCAGTAATTCGAATGTATGCTTATTTCCCATTTTCCTATATTTGTTTCTCATGCTGCTTCGCACTTCTTAAAATTTTTTCGCGACCGGGTAATTTCGCGGCAGACCCCGCAGCCGCTACGTTTCATAGTTTTATGTAAGTTGAAAGCATGCGGAGGCTCCGCCTCCTGCCCTTAGTTTTCTCGACCAAGGAGACAGTACGGTCGTTCCGGGCCTGTAGTCTTCAGTCGTTCCTGACCCGTAGTCTTCAGTTACTCCTCACCTTCAGTCTTCAGTTGTTTCTTGCCTTTAGTCCTCAGTTGTGCATTGCATTTGGTAGTCATCAGTCGTTATCAGTCCATGTCAGTCATCAGTCGCACAATAAAGGCTCGATAAAATCAGTGTGTCGAAGCCCGCACAATAAATTCCAGTGAAGATGGCGGAGAAGAAAAGCCCCAGGAAAATCGTTTGATTGCAACTTAAAAATACAAGAATAACTCGATTGACTAATACTTGGGAGGAAAACCGTGACTTTATCACTGCGAGAACGCATTGAGTCGATGAGCTCCCGTATAAAAGTCAGCGGAATTGCTTTCCATCCTGTAACTGAAAGAGCAAACTCCTCATCCATGTTTTTGGTGTTAGCCTCTTCGAGCACAACCTCCCAAGCTCTTTCCGCACGTGTTCAAATGGAGTTGTGGATACTGGCTTGACCAATCGAGAAGTCTGACTTTTGTTCATCAGATGAGGCCCTCACGACACTTGATGTGTGCTTCGGATCGATATCTTACGGCAGAATCCATCCATCAGACAGGTTCTGTTGCGCCCACGTTAGGGCATCATTCCCCATCATGTCCCTTTAGCTTCTGCCCGTCATCGCTCCGTTTACTCTTAGGACCCATGCCATCTCATGAAAAGGCACTGTAGACCATCACTGATCCTCCACCATGCTTCTCTGTAGGCCTGATTTTTTAAAAATTGAACCGCTAACCTGATAGACGTCGCACGTACTTTATTGCATCACTTCTAAACAGGGAATTGCTTTCATCCGTGAAAGTACTGTGCTCCACTCAGCCTCATGTGTCGGCGCGCGAACTCGACTCGAAAATCGTGCGCTCTGACCCAAAAATATCCACTTTTCTCTGCTTGAATTCAGATTCCCACTCACTTCTCTTTCTCAGTTCTTAAGAATAGTTACAAAATATGACTCAAAAACTGTTTCTGTATTTGATTTTACTACACACTCTGTATACACCTATACATCTTACCTACATCAGGTCCACACACCCACATATACAGTGCGTTTCACAAATACAAACTTGGCAAACTTGGCAAGAAAGTTCTACGATAAAAAGAAAGTTACTTTGAATAGTTTTCTAGGGTTTTCCAATCTTGAAAAATATACCCACCACAGAGATAAACGACCTCCACTTATCCTTTGTGCAAATCACTGATGCCTTGGTACAGAAGTCGGGAAGCGATGACTCAAAGAAATCGTCGAATGCCGCCTTCGGATCACCAGTTTGCAGAATGGGATGCTTGAGAAGGCGGTGCACACGGTAATCAAAAGGAAACACGGTACCGAGGCAGGCCCGTGGATTTTCGACGGGTGTGTAAGCGAAGTTCCGACGTGCCCTGTCGCTATGTAGATACCTCAATTATGGTCTTGGACAACTTTCTCTATTCGCGTTGTCCAAATGGGCTCTATAGGAGTGAGCGACAGCGGTGTAGTGAATGACTCACTTCTCTTCCCCGAATTAATGAAACGCTTGCATAACATCGGAGGCTAGTATCTCTCGCAGTGAAGCAGTTCAACCAATTGTTGCCCGTTGTCAGCGTTGTCAGCGAACAGTGCTTTTAGCGACTGAGTTGCTATAAATTTTAGTCATTACACTCGCGTTTTTTCCCTAGCCGTGTCTAGTAGATGACGGTACGAATGTGGCGTTGTAAAGTTGCGAAGGCCCTTGTGCGTGCCCTTTACTAATGAGTAGAATTCCAGGGAAAAGTCATCGAACTTAATTACCCCAGTCTCGTGTTCACCTTCTCATACGAAATATGTAAGGCTCAGATTTTTTCAAAAAGCTTTCTTGCTAACTTGATGTAAGGGAGCCTTCAGATTCTCCAGTTCTAGAATAAGCAACCAAGTGGGGATGTTACTATGCAGTGCACATTTATCAGGTTCTAAATTAACCCGTTTGCAAATATTGTTTGCATCATGTCTCAACATTTTTTGTAAATAAATTTGGTTGTTGCTTCGTTCCATAAGATAGCAGAAGATAATCCTGAAAATTCGGCAAGTAAAGCAGTTTTAATGGCAGCCATTTTATCAATCGCAAACGCCGGTCCGAGTTGTCAAGCTCTTGTACAAATCGATGGGATCTCTGCGGTTGCATGTTTCAATAATCACATCTTCGATCTCGGAAACGGCAGTCAGCTTGCGATGGCTTCTTATCTCCCGTTGCCGTCTGCTGACGTCGTTCTTGTTTTTTCTGATTTGCATCATCAGATCTTCGATAAATGATTCGATACACTTTGTGTATGTAACCGAATCGCTTTCTCAGTTCTTCCCCATTTGGGTAAGCTGCCGTGGCAACCTCTCCCGAGCGGCCCTTCTCGACTCGGTTACTCAAGCACCTTCAGCGAAATTGGGTCCATTTATTGGGTTATTCGAATTTTTGAGGTCGATTATCGGTAATAATTTCACAGAGAACAAATTCGTATATTTTGATCGTGTGTACTACGTTTTGCTATGTAATGGTTTGTCATCTTACTACTAGTTTCATTGTCACATTCTCATAGAAGGCTATAGACTCACTGTTTTAGGTGCATTTTGCAGTCCTCCAGTGAATCAAACGATTTACCGCGAAAGGAATTCAGGGATCTGAACAACTCATAGCCTAATTGTGTATATGTAATAATATATGGAGTATTATACGGTGTTGTATGAGACATCGCGCTCGTATATTCCAGATATAGCACAATTAGGCTATGAGTTGTTCAGATCCATGAACCAAGGGGAAGCAACATCTTCACGGTTGTCTAGTAGTTATGGGTGCTTCTGTCGACTGCTGTCTTCAAATGATCAACTTTCAGAACTAATTGTTTGCCTGTGTGGCAGCAGCTCTCAATAGGTAATTTCCTTCCATTCTCACCAGCAACTCCAGAGTGCAGCCCTCAGCTCATGGATTTCGTTTTTGGAATCATTGGTAGCGGATCTCTGATATTACCCGACAATCGTTCCCACTATATGTTATCGCGCACAATCCTTTTCTCTTCTTCACTGACCATGCATTTCAGGAATGATTGTCTAAGCGACAAATAGCACACAGAAACGAGGTTCAGTAGCTGCGCTCACCCAGTTTGTGAGGTATTTGAACATTAAGGCGGCTACAAATCATGTTCCATAAAATGGCCGTGAATAGTCGAATGTGACACTCTGAGCCTTTCCGCTTGCTCACGAGTGGTTATGCGTTGATCCGATTCGATTAACATTGCGATTTGTCGCTACCATCCGATGATCGACCTTTGCCGATTTCTAAGGCTAATTTCCTTCTGTCTCATTTTTGGAATTCACCCATGCAGTGTTCACCTTGATTGAGCAGTGTCTCCGTAGATATCACATACCTTTTTCGCGGTTCGTGCTTCGCCTCTGCTTTTACAGTGTTGGAAAAGCATCAGGTGTCGCAAATGCTATCGTAGTCGCTTATCTTTCTCACCGGCTATACAAATATACAGAAACTAAATTCATGGAAAAACATACTACGATCAAAATAAAGAAGAATGTTTACCTTTCCAGGAAATATATTGTATGTTGAGGTTATATCGGAGACCTATCCAAAATCGGCGGGAACTTTCCGAACGACCGATTATATAACTGTTTTCTTCATCGACGTGATGACATATCGAATTTCAGAAAGAGAACCGATGAAGCGATGTATTCGTCTTGCCTAAGATGGTGAATAGGCAGGTAGACGTGGCTGTCGAAGAGATGCGAGTAGAAGTCGCAGATGAGTTTCTCCATTGCCCTTCGAGTTGCAGTAACTGCTCCGTCAGAGCGACAAAAGGAAGTTATCTTGGTCTTGTAACCGTTGAATCTTCGTCGGGCTTTGCGAATGCTCTTTCCACCCGCGGTTTCACCCATATCTGCTGCTCCTCTCTCTTTCAGATCTTCCCTTATCGCTTCTCTGCATAACTTCACGAGTTCGGACATTTTTTGATGACTACCTGCAGCTCGCGCGATCCCACGCCGGCGCATCAGCTCGAGAGTTTTCGAAGAGAGCCGTCTCTTTGCTACTTGTAGACTCTTTGCTTTCCTAGCGCTATCGTGAAGATGTTCGACGAGCTGGTTGCATTCTTCATCGACGTTGTTGATAACGGATTTTTCCCAGTCACTCGCGGGAGAAAAACGGAAGCGAAGTGGTTCCAGTTGATGAGAGTCTTGGGATTTTGTTTCCTGCACTTCAAAGCTCTTTCTACGCACAGAGAAGCAGAAACTAGCGTGGAAGAGACTTTGGTCCGTTCCCGTTTGGAACTTCGAACAAGAGGGACATCAGTCAGGCAAAACCTCCAATTCAAAATGGTGTGGTCTATTCATTAGGTACTGTCCACCAGGTGACTCTCATGTCCAAGGCAAATGAGGGTCTTCTGGAACTGCGAGTTAGCCTGGATGGAGAGGGTCGACAAGATAAACTCAAACAGCCTTTCACCCTGCTTATTCCATTCTATTTCGTGAGTACCGATGTAGGGTTCTTCAGCTGTTCTTCTGAGATCACCGACGATGATCTTGAAGAAGGTGTGGTCTTCTCTGTGGATCCTGTCAAGATCCACATAAAACGCCTCCAACTCCTCTTCATTGTAGCTCGATGTTGGTGCGTAAGCAACGAAGATGGTTAGAACTGGGGTTGAGCCAATCTTCTTGATCGCAAATGTCCGATTCGGGTTGTTGAGCTTTCGTACGAATCGGTATTCATAGCCAAGTGCGTGTTGACGAGGACACCTACGCCGCCGACGGCTCTATTGTCTCATGTTCCGAGAAGGAGTTCTTTCATCTCAAATACATTGTGTAGCGTGCGATACTTCCCAGCCACTTGAATGCAGGCTTTTGGCTGAGTCAATAGGCAGGATACCAACTGCACCCGCAGACTCTTCACACACGTATGCGTGGATACACCTGCGAGAAACAGAAGGTATATCGATCAGCACAGCAGAGTCAGGGAGCATATCTCCTGAATCCACCTGCGTCTCTGAGCAAGTATTGGCGACTTTTGGCTGGCTATTTACTATGTAGGCTGCCAGGCGATTCACTGTGTAGCCCTGACGTTGGGGCTGGCCACGCTATCCCGAAGTGGGCGAGGGGCTTTGTTTATGTATGTACATATATTTTTTCCAGGTGCTGCTGAAACATAGCGGTGAGATCATCAATTGCGAAGAAACTATCTGTAATTGCTGTCCAGAGAGTAAGGCTTTCCTTTTTTAAGTTAATGAAATCAGCACATCAGCATTCTTGTCGAATTGTATTTATCGAATATCTGACTCATATGACATATCCAGTCGAATTCAAGCCGTTGTCGAAATGACGGCTGAGATCCACAAGTGAAGCACACGAATGTTTTCATCCTGCTTAAGTAATTGTGACGGTTCTCGAGTTATAAAGTTGTCGTCTGAACATTACAGTTTATCAATTTAAATACTTTTTTGCTTTTCTTTTATACGCTTTTCCTTTAAGCTGGCTTTGGGGCCATTGGGATTTGATAAACGGTCTCTATTTTTGACTGCAACCTAAACACTTGAATGACTTCCAACTATTCTTCGCAGCCAGTCGTGTGTGTGTCTCCGACGGCAGGGGTGGCGGCACTTCTCCCGAATACTCGCGGAAAGCGGCAGTAGTCGCCCGCGGCTATATACTTCCACTAGGAATTATTAATACCGTTGTCCTCATCGCGCAGTCGGGTGCGGCAAACGGGACGCGACTTTCGGGGAGAAATACACACACCACGGGCAAGGTATCCAGACTAATATCTTCCGTATTTATGGAAAGTAACCCTAAAATTGCCCGTTGCAGACCTAATTGATGTTCATATTTTCGGTCTATTTCTTGGCAACAGAAACAATTTGTTCGACCGCAGCTTGCTGTATTCCTCGAAAATCCTTTTCTGCGCTTGTGATGGGCATTGTTTAAGTTATTGAAGTTATGCGCATGACACCTTCGTTACGACTTTGCGCTTTGTGGACAGAATTTTCTAGACTGTGATTTTGAGAACTTACTGAAGTTGGAGCTTAAGTCAATAAAGATAATTGGTAGTATGAAGACTCTTTATCAAATTAAGCATCCATTGTTTTCCGTTCATTAGCTAAAATTGTTATTGCTCAAGGAGATATCGTAGCTGTTTGGCTGAGCAGTTCCGCGTGTTCCACTTTTATCGTCTCATTCCGCTCACCTACTTCAGCTGTTTTATCTGAAAGTGTGAGTTGAGGAAGCTGACTTTAAGCGCTGGACTTGATGTACCACTTCGTAGAGAGCGTATCTCTCTGTCGCTTCACTTATACATTTGGGAAGGAAGCAGCTCTGCCAATGCTTTACAATCATCAGTCTCTTCTAATGTTGAATGATCGTAAACAAATTATCAATATATCTGCGATAAAGTTGGCAGTTTCGAAGCTTTACGTTTCGACGTTTCACCTGTCACTTGTATCGCCTGTCGTCCCGTTGATCATCGACTTCCTCGAGATGGCGTTAGAAACGTCTCCATTCGTCCCTGTCACGCCCCAGAGTGATCCAGTGAATTGGCCTCTCTTCAGGTACACAAAGCCCAGCATTCCTTCCATTCAGAGTTTCCGTGAAGACGTCTGAGCATCTCGTTGGCGGCCGTCCTGGTGTTCGCTTGACTTACCGAGGGATCCAGTCAGTAACCGCCCTGGTCCAACGGTCGTCATTATATTATAGCATAGCATAACGTGCCTGGCCCACCTAGATTTCGAATTCATGACGTAATCAACATCATCTCTGATCTTCATTCGTTGACGGAACATGGAACTTCAGATTCCCTTCTGCACTTGCGCGTATAGGGGGATTGCGAGCATCGTCCTTTCCACAGCGCGCTGAATGACGCATATTACATGCTCATCCTGCTTTCGTAGAATCCAAGTCTCTGGAGCGTACGTCAAAGCAGGAAGGACAGCAGAGCCGAAAAGGTGAGCGTGGAGCCGAATGTTCTTTGTCTTCTTCACTACTCCCTCCATGCTCTTGAATGCTCCCCTCGCGGCCCGTCCTTTTTGCTCAGCTCTGAAGGTAGGTCGTTTATCATGTTGGCTCCCGGACCTAGATACACATAGCTAGAGCATTCGAAGATATTTGTCAGCGTAAAGGAAGCATCTGGTACCAATACGTTTTTCATGGACACCATCTTCGTGGTTCACTCTCAAGCCGATATTTCCATAAGCACTGTCAAACTCTGCCAGCATTCGATCCGCCTGTTCGATGACCGCTGTTATAAGTACGATCTGTCTGTAGTCGTATGCAAA